AAGAAACAAATGATTTCAAAATCAATCAATAATTGGAATATCCGCATTGTTATGTTACATGTGGGATCTGCGAGTGCATGCGGGACAAATTTGGGATGAAAAAACCTACAGCACACACGGTGGACAGGACGCAGAGCGATGTATGTCTGACGCGACCAACCACGTAGAATATATGATTACAACACGGTAGCTGAGAAGAGGCATACACGCAGCCGAGGGTTGAATAAAACTGACTTACATTGACAATCGAGAGGTAAATTGTACTCCTTAAAACGGAAGGAGAAGAGAAAAGCACAATCGGTGGAGTCAGATGGAATGTCATTGCTGACGACGAAGGAAATCTGATGCTCCAAAAAGTCTCTTTGGAGTGCCTCTCTTCGATACAACTACAGATTTGCTGAATACCTGTAAAGCAATCCCTAGATCTCGATGGGATTCAAGAGCTGTCGCGCACTTTTCAGATCTAAACATAAACATTTTCAACCGAATAACCAAAATGCTAACTTGTAGTGCACCTTGAGAAGTCAACTTATTTTCCATGAAAATCACAAGGGAAAAATGAGACTCTGAGATTCGAAAAAGGGTTAGTTCACATTATCTCATAATTTGAGGTTTGTATAAGATGATTGTATACTGTACAAAAACGGCGCGTGAACATTCGAAGTTAAACATATGAATGATAATTTTTCGAACAGATTGCATGGTAGATAATTGATACACAAGCACACCGAAGGGTAGTGAACGCAGTCGCATTGCAGTGTTTCGACGTGAATCTGTAGTTGGTAAATATTTCTGATCTGAAGCTCTTGTCAGTGAACAGAAAAGAAAACGGGGAACAACGCTGATAAGCTCTCCATGAAGAAAAGTTAGCACATTAGCCCTAAAGGTGTATTTTCGAATATCGACATTGCAACTATAGTCCTCGTGATTTAAGCTAGGACTGACTCTGTTTCTTCCATTCGTAGCTGTATTGCCGAAACAGTGTTTTGGGTCATCGTTAATGTTAATGTTATAGTTTTAATGACAATGCCAAGTCGGTAGAGAATTATATTCGCCGACGTTTCGGTAAACGTGGGTAACCTTTCTCAAGGCAGGTTATACAATCAATGGTAAATCAATGGTAAAAATGTGTTTTGGGTCATTTCAATATTCGATCCTCACGGTCCAAATACACAGTTTTTGCATATGTATACGCGTTTCATTTGATTCTCAACATGCCCCGTCTCTCTGATCACATTTTTATTTGAGCTATGTAGGTTAGCACTATGCAATTGTCCTTCACTTGCACTGGGGCTCACAACCTACTGAATTTATTCAAGTACATTGACTCATTGAAATGAAACAGCATCAGATGGCGGCAAAATTATATTCCAGTTGTGAGCATGTTCACTCATTCGCTAATTAGTGATGAATGTTAAATATTAATACTAAAGTTAATATCTTTCAACTTCCATTTTTATTTTATTGAATGTACAAATGAACAGTCAACTTTTAGGAAGGGGGCTTCGGCCATACAAAGGCTGATTGAGGGAAATACAGAAATCGTTGGAGGAGGTCCTCTAGCCGGGTGCAGCACAATCTTTACACTAGTAAATCCTCAGCCTACACTATACATCCTGCGTGGTTGAAAAGTGGGGTAAACAGGTCAGTCACAAGTGCTCTTTTGTTGCATCTTGTTGACATTAATCACACCGTAAAAGTGACCGAATCGTTTCGACCTCCGTACTTAGTTAGAACGGGACGATCTAGACACGCGAATCCCCCCCCCCGTTTGCTACAGCGGAGGCCATTAGCATCCGTCTCCACGATCCCGTCTGTGTGCTCAAAATCAATTTGTGCAAGCACGCAAACTCCCCCGATTGGAATGTCGGCAAGTGATATGTCATTTAACATCCGAGCCAATGATAATTGACTGCTACTACCGAATTCAGGTCATCCACCGGCAAAGTGGGGACCAATTGTGTTTCAAATTGTTGAACCCTTCGACTACTTCCCTCTCTTTCGTAAATCCCTTTATGTAACTGGTCATATATATATGATATTGTAGTGGCATGATTATGATGCACTGAAAACGAGCATGTTTACCAATTATGAGTTATGAACATGAGTTCTTTAGGGGCCCCTGGGTGGCCTTACAACATGTTTTGTACTGCACGTGGGACAATGCAATAAGCAGTTGTTGGTGAACAACCCAAACAGGAAACGAACTCAAGCAGCACGTCCCTCTCGCACCACTCCCGTGGACAGGTATGGTATAAGTATTGGTACGCAAAAGCTTGATCTTGATGTCTGATTACCAAAACGGCACAAATACAAATACAGTGTCTGAAGCATACGCACACACGGGGGACATTAGTCTACTGATAGTCATTCCCTCAACCGTTGCGTCTGTGTTCGCCGACCTTGGCAATTTGTTTCCATACGTTTCATCACCAACCGAGGTGACATCAGAAGTGCTTGTGACCTGTGACTTCACAGGCACGGATGATGTCATCCCCCTGATGATGTGATGAAACGTTTGCAAATAAATTGCCAAGTTCGGCGAACACAGGCGCAATGGAATTCAGTTCACCCGAGCTACGAGAACCCATTTGCAATATTCTCTCAATCGTTTCATTGAAACATCGTATTTGAGAAAGTTTACTCAGGGAGACCAAAGCATTCCAATATTATCATCCCTACCGCTAACGTTGTGCTATGAACAACTACGCATCTCAATAAAAACACACCAAATGAAACATAATTTGCTCGCAGTACTTCAAACCTCGTTTGATACTAAAACTATTGGGATCGACATACAACACTGTATGAAAATATTCATTTTAAAAAAGGAACGTGTAACCCTTGTTCGTGGTTAAATCGATTCCAGAGATTGATAAAAAGTAGTAGGATAGGGATTTTAATGCAACGCGAATCACCTATATCATCGTTTTTTGACCCATTCTAATCCAAGCGGAGCAAACTCGAACTGTGGTCGAAGAGAATTAGATATAGGACAACAGCAATTGGAAGCACTGCTTTCTCACCCACACAAATTTGACTCTGTCGATCTGCTTACTAGTGTACTCAGCTGAAAGCAGAACAAGGTCGAGTGAGTCTCAGTCACAGTGGACCAGGCAGAACTGAAGTGGTCCGAGAAACAGGGGTTGAGCGGGCCGATCGTGGTGGCCGTTTTGTGTCCTCCATTATGTTATGGATAATCTTACCCTGATCGTAATTCCATTTTCACACCGAATGCACGAGTTACCATGACTGCATCAACCATGTGCCACGACGCAAGGGCACTGACCAAGCATCCATCATACAAACCGATGTTGGTGATTTCATCACAAACACGTTTCGGTTCTCTTTGTGTTGCGTCATTTTCTAACTCCACTTTTGCGATTCGCCTTCCACTGTACCAGCTGAAATCGTTAGAACAATTTTATGATAGTGGGTGGATGTAGATCAGGGTTTTTCCTAACACACAGATAAGCATTTCAGTTAGAACAGGACACTACATCGAAGTCGACATGTTCCATGGTCAATTAAACAAAGTGTCATAGGCGAACAAATGGCCGTGGACAACGCATTCTGATCAGAATGCCGGTAAGTGAGGTATGCGAGTTGTCTGAGATAAAGAGTTTGCAAGGAAGCGAAAGGACTATATAAATCGATCCCAGTCCAATCGCCGATGTTCTCTGTCACATATAGGTAGCTGACGCGCATGCATTCCTACAAGCAACCATAATTTGGGGAATATTGGCATGGAATCGAGCGGTGCAACTTTCGAGGCAAATGCTTGTTGAAATAACCAAAGACGTGTGACTTACCAACCGATTAATGTTCTCTTTCGATGATTTTTCTCCCATTACATCATAATCCTCGAAGAACATATACTCAAATGCAAAGGAAAATGTACAATTATTGTGTAATACCATTCAGCCGGCAAACTGATTGTGTTATTATGGGTTCACCCCTTGGACTCGTTCTTGCCGACATCTTCATAACCAAGTTCGAGACAACTTCCTTAACCACGAGTATCAGTTGTTTAAAACAA